CATAAAGTTTCAACATTACCTCTTGAGGAATGGAAGTCATAGCCTGCTGAAGGATCTTTAGCTCCCTGCAGAGCTCCAGAGACGAGCAGAGCTGGACTTATCAGCCGCCTCGCAGAGCATTGTGCACTGAGAGAGATGACAGAGAGAGACTTCCTCCTGCATTAATGAATCCAGTCAAGCGGGATCTTAAGGGACCTAAAGACTCTCAGGCACCAAGGGGACAGGAGTGGTTTGGCATTTTAAGAGCCAGAGAATGATTCGTACGCAGGATGTTCGACGTATTTCCTACAAGGTGCTGACTTTACGGCATAATGCGGGGTCGCTTATCTGAACTTCCCAGTAAGAACGGACTAGTATTTAAAGCAGAACAAAGGTGGTTGTGACAGGTAAATAAGAGCAAATACTTGTCGAATGGCGGAAAAATTTAAAACCCAAGCGCTGTCTTTAACTTCTTTAGCCTTTTGTTGTAGCTAAGCAACTTCAAAGCAGCTGCGAGCTGTGAAAATCAGCCGTTAAAATTTCCGTTTACTCCGAGCTCCTCAGAGCGATCCACCTTTCTGTTGTATTTATTTGCAGCGTGATGAACTTGAGGGGTTGTTTTTTTCCAGCCTGTTATATGCAGTGATCAAAGAGACAGGAAATAAGTGACTTTTCACACAGCTCAATGTGCCAGAAGCCTGTAAAAGCATCTGCTTATGTGGGGCTCTGAGAGCCGGAGCTCCAGCTCTGAGTAAACATGATTGCGAGGCTCCAGCCTGAGAGCTGTCTGACAACACGGGTGTATTTAGGGCTTGTTAGCTGATAGATCCTTTTTTTTAAAATTATATAATGACGTTATATCTGTTCATCCGTCTTTGTCTATCCATTCATCATCTCTCTGTCTGATGTTTATCGATCTGTCTGTCTGTCCGTCCATCCATCCATCCGTCTGACGTTCTGTCTGTCTGTCTGTCTGACTTTCTATCTGTCATTCCACCTGTCCTTGTATCTGTGTTACCTTCCCTCCATCTGTCTATCATTCTGTCTATCTATCATTATATCTGTCCTTCTGATGAATGTGCAAAACTCTACTATGCTAAGGTGCTTTAAGTGGTTGTCTGGGTGTTTGCAGTTGCTAGGATGTTCTGATTTGTTGCTAAGGGTTTGCCAGCTTACTCAAGTCAAATACCAAGTGTCTGTGATATTCCTTATACCTTCATTTTTAAATTATTTTTGATTTATGTTTTGATTTTAGGTAGTTAGACCCTTTTTGTGAAATATTCACTGCTGAAATAAAAGTGAATTAATTTCTTAATTTTTTTCCCCTAAGAATTCTTTCAGGGAAGGCTATTATTGATAAAGTTGAAAAGCAAATTAAATATTAAGCAATTACTTTAATCATTTAAATGTGTGATTCTTTTTTTTTAATAGGTTTGTTGTATTTACTGTTAGTCAAAGAAATGCTTGCTAATGAAAACTTGCTTGCTAATGCTAATGCTTGCTAATGTTTATTTCAAATTTGATGACACATTTCTTAATTTGCACAGGGAGGATATTGATTCAAATTGGACTCAAGTGAGATCAGATGTGACAATAACAAGTCAGATTGGTTTGAACCCGAGGCTCAGTGCCCGTGGAAATGTATTTAATTCATCTCTATCAGTATGTCTTTTATTTAATATTTACAGGAAGGAAAACTGCAATACCCACTTCGTTGTGAATGCAAATATAAATGTTTTATCTCATGAATATGTTTCCTCTCCATACTGTTTATTCATGCATTTATTCATCCATTTTTCACGCTTATGAATCTGCAGAGACCTTGTTGCCGGCGTTGCATTGTGAGAGTACTGCAGTGATAGATACACAGAGCGCTCATGATAAATGTATGCACCTTTGTTGCCCTACAGAGAGAGTGTCTTTCACCTCTGTGCTGTAGATGAACAATGAGAACTTGTTGGTGTTAGAAATTACTCCACTACAGCGAGACGATATGGGGAATTTATAAAATTTTATTTAAAATACAAACCGTACATGCTCTTTATTAAGTGTACCGTTCAACGTGGAGTGCAGCTCTTGGCAAAAATTGCTCTAAACCAAACACTGGCATCTTTGTTCATTGTGCTGAAAGTTGGAAAGGCTCCTTTTGTTGCACTTGGAAGTAATACAGATGAGATCATTATTGTCTAATGTGTTTGAGAACTTTCCTATGCATGTCATATTTTCATTTTAGAAAGAATTCACATCAAAACCCAAAAAAGTGACAGTCAGAACCTAGTTAGGAACTTGTAATTAATTTAGCAGTATTCAACCTGTATGCTCCAGACTTTTGCAGCGGCAATGACAGACGCTAATTCGCTTTGGTTTTTGATTAAGAAGCGAGGCTTTTGAACTCAGTCAATTATAGAGGCGTTAACGCAACTTTTTCCCACTGTGTGTACTTCCTCTGTCCTCGTTTCAGATTTTTTCAGAACTACCTTTTGCTAGTTTTTTTTAAACGACTGCTTAAAAGACCATATTTTTCCTCTTTTCAAGCACACGTCTTTATCCTCATTTATTCTCACCTGTGACTTCCGAAATGAAACCATGCAATTACGAAACATTACATTCACCACTAAATCACAAATTCTCTGGGCATTTAAAAGGAATAAGCCATCAAATTCAGAGACTATATTTATTCTGTGACCTCCCTGTCTTTGTGAGAAAGTGTAAAATTGCCATTTCCAGTTGGATTAAAGATCAGATTTTCTTAATAAATAAGACTCTTTGAAAAGCTTTTGGGGCTTTTTTTTCCCTTTTCTTTAAACATCACATTGAGGTGGCAAAAAATGCCTTTAAAATGGTAGATCTCCGAGCAGTCATGGCAACAGGAAGTAGCACCAAGTGCCACAATCTGTGATTTATCTGTGGAGCAGAACACTTGCCTTTTTCATTCCATCTGACATAAAAATAGAGGCAGAGGGAAAAACAGAAAATATATAGAGGGGTCCAAAAGTCTGAAAGCACCATATGGGATGCAAAATCCAATTTAAACCTGGAAATAATAATAAATATGGGTACAAACTTTTGTTAACATCAGGTATCATGAAGAAATTACATTTTCAGTATTTAATAATCTTGGTTTGTTATATATACTAAAACATTTTAAAATGCATACATGTTTTAGCAATTTGTATAAATAAACTTTAACATGACTTAAATTTTAACAAAAATTAACGTCAACAGTAAGATTAATAAATACTGTAAACGTGTGGTAAATTGTTAATTGTTGGTTAATGATACCCAATGCATTATCTAATGTAAACATAGAAGATATAAGTGTCCTGCTATAATTACAATACATTAGTTGACATTTTTAAATATGTCTTACCGGGGAAAATATTAGATTTTTTAGTTTTTTAAACCAAGTATAAGTTTAAAAGATTTGCGTATATTTATTTTTATTTATTATTTTATTTTGTTTATTTGTAAAAAATAATATTGTTAAATTACCATATACAATTCAAGGAGTATTGTTATTAAAACTATTTTAAATATATTTTTTTAGTTTGCCATGAATATAGCCTTTGATGCTGATATGGAATGAATGAATGAATGAATGAATGAATGAATGAATTGAATGAATGAATGAAACAAACAAACGAAACGAGCTTTTTGTTATTGCTATTTATATATTTCTAAGTCACTGATTAAATATTGTTAAATGACTATGTACAATTCAAGAAGCGTTGTTATTAAAATTATTATTATTTATTTATTTTTTTTAGTTTGCCATGAATATTGCCTATACAGCTGATATGGAATGAATAAAAATGTATGGACTTTCTTTATGAGCTTTTTTAAAATTATTATTATAATTATTTATATATTTCTAAGTCACTAAATGCTCCTTGTTATTGCTATTTATATATTTCTAAGTCACTGATTAAATATTGTTAAATGACTATGTACAATTCAAGAAGCGTTGTTATAAAATTATTATTATTTATTTATTTTTTTTTAGTTTGCCATGAATATTGCCTATACAGCTGATATGGAATGAATAAAAATGTATGGACTTTCTTTATGAGCTTTTTTAAAATTATTATTATAATTATTTATATATTTCTAAGTCACTAATTAAATGCTCCAGTGCCTTCATATGCTCAATGTCACAAAAGGTCAATAATTTAAATATGCTGCACATTTTTTTCCTAGCCTTTTTCGTAGCCAAGACTTTAAGGCATGTGTCTACACTGTAAAAATTATTATTCGCTGTTGTAAATAAAACAAATATTACTTACAAATATAACTTTCTACTTTAAATTTGTACATTTAATTCAATGTGCTACTTGCCATTTCATGTGTTACGTGACAATTGTTTCTACACAGTTTTTTTTTACTTCAGTGCATACAGAAATTGACAACTTGCCCTGGTCTTGTGCAAACTCTCATGCCAATGTGTGATCGGTATTAAGAGCATCACTTTGAGCTTCAAAATTTCACTTGTTACAATACTCATTGTCAGAGGTGTGGCTTGTATGTGTTTGTGTTTATTAATCATTGTATGTTGTCTCTGGCAGCATGGGATTGTGTGCGAGCATTTGCGCAGATGGACAGAAGGACAGGGCAGGTGGGGCGCTAGACATGCAGATGGGACGCGCATACCCACAGCCTGCCTTGTCACAAAGCTATTATCCCCCGAATCCTTTGACGCGCACAGGTTATTGCTCTTTCTAAGCCTAAACGACTACAAACGGCGTATTTGTAGATGAACCTCTGCCCGTTGACAAGCGGGCGGCACTGTAAGTTTCGCAGCCAAAACATAAAAGCAATTCTAATGAAGACTTCCTTTAATGAACACACTCTCATTAAGCCGCAGCTCAGCAGGTAAAACGCAAACAAAACGAGACACGGGCTGAACCCATCCCGCCTTTGCCGTTTAAAGCGGCAGTCTTTGAGGCGGTTGTACATGTGTAGGACTGCAGGCTAACACATCTAGCCACTGTGTGACGGCAATTACTGTGTGTTTTCTCTCTCAGGCTTCTGCCCGGCCTTTGCAGGGCGCTTGTGTGTGAGTGAAGACGAGTGACGGGGATGAACTATCTTTGCTGAAAAGGTTAGCGGATGTGCATCAGCATGGAAAAACAATCCAGGGTATGTCTCCGTGCCTCCTCCGCATGCTAGAAAAACACCATCTCCTGTATATGTTGCATGAAATGTCGTCTTTTTCCTTGAATAAAACTGAGTTGGGGTGGGGCTCGGGTATCTTCGCTCTTGTCTCCGAGACCTCCCTGGGGTGCGTTGCCGTGGAAACGGCCCCAGGTAAATCAGCCTCCTGAAGGTGGTTTCTTGTGGTTCCATTCCGCTTCAATAGGCCAGAGACTGTGTATTTCTCCCAGCGTGGGAAACGGAACAGGCTAAATGAAGTCGACAGTCAAAGGCCCCAGGGAAGCCCACAGGCAGACTTGTGTACCAAACTCATTGGGCTGATCAGCTAAACGCACTCCATTAAGGTTGGTCTCATGTACTAGTGAGTACTGCTTGAAGAGTGCGCTGATTAAAAACAGATGACATGACCTTGAAGTCAACATGGAATCCAAATTGACCCCGTTTACTCCGTACATATACCTGGACTTATAGTGAACTGTTCATTGGTGTGTGTTATTCTAAAGAAAAAATATTTGTCTTTGGAGTTTTTCCTCCGAGTGTTTCCTCAAATAGCCTGTCATATAGAGAACACCTTTTACATCCATAAAATACTATTGTTTTAAATAGAATTATATCCCTTCAGGCCCATTTACACCAAGAACAATAACTATGATAATAATTATATTAGCGTCCACACCAATGCAAGATAACGTTCTGTTTATTATAAGCAAATGCTGCAGTTTTGTCGTCTGTTGCTTTAAATGCTTGAATTCTTTAAAGTCAGATGGATTCTGATTGGCTGTCAATTTTTCATTGTTTATAAGTTAGATAAAAATGTTCTTGAAAGTAATTTTAACAATATAGTGCCTTTCTGCTTTTATCGTTAGTATTTTCCTATTGTCAAATAAATTTCAAAAAAAGCACCAACACATTTAACATATAAAAATTATATTTTTGGATGTTATTTTTGACGGACTTTCAACTATAAGCAGCTATAAAGCTATAAGAAGAACACTACTACAATCAATCCATTTGTAGATGTATTTCCCTGAAAGCACTGTTGAACTAATTTCTCTCAACATGTTTTTAACCAGTGGTTTGAGTTAATGGTTGGGAAATATCCCAAATTAGTCATATGTGGTGACGCGCAGACATATTAGACTTAAATAATTGAGTAACTTACATTTTAGACACAATATAACCAGTTACTTTGTCTGTTTATGCAGAATAAATGGTTACACATCTGAAAGCAAAACAATAGTTTCTGAATTAATCTGTTTTTAATAATTTAATAATTCAGTGTTTCATCATGAAAACAGTGAGCATTTTTTTTTTTTCATTTGGTGGCATCAAAACAGAAGCATCCATGCATTCTACTCAGAGTATTATATTTTTTATGTGAGTTATTCAGAGTATTCTAAAATGTTTGCAGGAAATGTACAAACTCATATTCTCTTTGCATGTTTGCAGTTTCTACAATTTTACCAATTCTCCTTCAGCTACGCAAGATGAAAACACATTTTTATCATTTCTTGGGTCAAGAAAGAGTCGCAGTGTACAGTATATTTCCTTGTCCCTTACAAACACTCACTCTGGTTGGATGCACTTAAATCCGCAGTAAGATTGCTTTCCTGTTACATATCACACATGCACACTTCAATAAGCTGAAAGAACGCAAGTTAAAGAAATGGTTCACCAAAAAATGAAAATTTTCGTCATTTACTCACCCTCCATTTGTTCCAAAACTGTACAAGTTTCTTTTCTTCTGTTGAACACAAAAGAAGATATTTCGAGGAATGTTGGTAACCAGTTGACGGTAGCCATTGACTTCTATAGTATTTTTTTTCCATACTATAGAAGTCAGTGGCTACCATCAACTGCTTGGTTACCCACATTCTTCAAAATATCTTCTTTTGTGCTCAACAGAAAAAAGAAACTCGCTGAGGGTGGGTAAATGGTGACAGAATTTTCATTTTTTGGTTAGATATCCCTTTAAGGCGTTTACATGACGGGCGAAATTGGGATAATGGGCAAAAACCTAGCTTTGTCGTTCAGTTTATTCTTAAGCTGTTTATGACCTAATGCCGATTAAGAATGTTCATGTAAACATGCTCAGTGATATATATATATATATATATAAATAAATA